TTTATTTTGATACTGTCCAGGCAAAGGGGTCTGGGAATAGACTGACAGAAGGCGCTGTTTAATGTGGGGAGTACAATTGTGACTAAGGGACCCCTTCCCCTCCAATTGCCTGAACTGGGCAATGCCCCAGGGTCACCGGCCCCACCTTTTCCATAAGGGTTATACCAGAGCCAGAAGTAAGAGAAAGGAAGATCCCTGGGCCCACCTTGATAGATTCTTGAAATTTCAAATCTGAAAGTTTGGGAATAAACTCTTGCCATTCTTCCTTTCTGCCATATAACTTTGCCCTTTAACCTTTATTAAACTTAGCTGCCTTTTCTGTACAGTTGCATTCAATGACTAATGCTTTGTCCTGCACAAGGACCTGGAAACCCCTCACCGACATCGTTACCCACAGTAACACTTGGAGACCCCTCCCCACGCAGGTCCCCAGGAAACAGTGAGGAAACCGTGATCACACAATGGAGCCCCCATTTCCCCTTTTCTTTTTGACACAGGGTCTTATCTTGTAGTGCAGGCTGGCATCAAACTCATGATCCTTCTGCCTCAGCCTCCCAAGTGATGGGAGTACACTGTTTTTAATGAACTGGTTTGCTCCTGGGTCCTGCCAGTTGACTGGAGGCAGAAGGATGGGCCTTGGCAGGCACAGACTGTTCAGCAGGTATTCTGGTTCCATCTCTGATCTTGTGAATGCAGGAGGGACTGTCAGGGGGAGTCACTTAGCCTTTTTGGCCTTTGGTACTTTTCTGTAAAAATAAGGGAATTGGAAAGAGACATGTTCACTCAATTACTCACCACCAGGCGCCCCTTTTACTTCATTTGGCTGGAAATTTAGGGCTTCCCGTATGTCAACACAGATATCCACCCCTCGGGAATTTGGGTCAGGTCCTCCTTCTCACAGGACGAGGTTCTGGCTTTATGGGTTTTGAGGGTTAGGTTGGGGACACTGAAACATTCCTCAGGTCCCAGGCTGCCTGGCCTCGGGTTTCCTGGCCCTTGCTGCAAGGGCCTTCTCTGAAACCTAGACGCTGACAAAGCTCATATTGGGGCGTATTTTAAGGCTATACATCTTAGTTTTCAAACTTTTTCTCGGAAAAGGGACGTGTACACAAAGAAATAACCTGATGCAGGTTAGAGAAACATCCCTAAGCCTCTTCCCTGCCCCAAATTTATTTTTTTCTTCTTCTTTTTTTCCCTGCCCCAAATTTAGAAGCAATCTGTCCATCACTCTTTGGCTGCCTCTGCCCAGGAGGGGCAAGCGCAAAGCACCTCCTCGGGCTTCCATACAAGCTCTGCCTACTTGTTCAGTGTTGACCATATAGGCTGCATGGGCACCTCTCTCTACCATCACCCCTGGCCTCTTAGACTTGTCCATGTCCCAAAGGATGCATTGAAAACTCCTAGGTGAAATTGCAATGGCGAGCTCTTCTATTGGATTACAAACTGTTCTGAAACATTCACGAGGGGAAAATCTGAAATTGTACACTGCATCGCGTCGTAGGAACTCCTGAGTCTTCTTCCTGATCGGCTCCTGACTAGTGTGCACGCCACCCATAACAACTTTCTACAGAAACCAGAAGAGGATTCTGTTTTAGTTACTGCTCTTGGCCTTTTCAGTTAACTGTAGGTCTGGACGCCGCCTTTGTATGGCCGCATCAGGTCTACAGTCACAGTCCCGCGCGCTGGGCACGGGAGTCAATTCCAGCGCGAGACTGGAGGCCGGGTTATCTGGCCTCGGGTCTCTGTCGCGGGCCACTCCGTCCGTGCCGGCCTCGCCGTCCTATCTGGGCAGCTCCCCTGCTCGGCGATCTGCGGGGAACTTTACCGGGGTCGCTGGCAGGTTCCACTTTACAGTCTGTCGCTTTGGTTTTAAGATCGCAAATCTTGGCAAAAGGAGTGCACACGGGGAGCGCGCGCCGGGAAATTGAGCCCCACAAGAGGGCGGACCCGCGCGCTGCCCCGCCCGCGCCCGAGGAGCCCCGCCGCGCCCGGGCACGCCCGCCCTGCCCCGCCGCGGGCGGTCCCGCATCCGGCCGCCGCCCCCATCCCCCGCGGCTCGTCACCGCCGCGAGGCCAATAGGCTGGGCCGCCCGCCGCGCGTACTCGCACCCGCTGTCCGGAGGCCCTGGTCCGCGCACTTTTCCCAGTGCTGCTGGCCGGCTCGCAGCAGTTCGCCGCCGTCGGAGCCGCCATGCAGTCCCGGTGCGCCGCGCTCCTTCCGCTGCTGCTGCTCTTGGCGGCGCCCGCCTCGGCGTTGCCGCCCCGGACCGGCCGCTCGGCGCCAGTCTTCTCCGGACCCGCCGCCGGCTGTCCCGAGCGCTGCGAGCCGGCGCGCTGCGCCCCGCCGCCAACCAACTGCGAGGGCGGCCGAGTCCGCGACGCGTGCGGGTGCTGCGAGGTGTGCGGCGCTCCGGAGGGCGCCGCGTGCGGCCTGCAGGAGGGACCGTGCGGCGAGGGTTTGCAGTGTGTGGTGCCTTTCGGGGTGCCAGCCTCGGCCACTGTGCGGCGGCGCGCGCAGTCCGGCATCTGCGTGTGCACCAGCACCGAGCCCGTGTGCGGCAGCGACGCCAACACCTACGCCAACCTGTGCCAACTGCGCGCCGCCAGCCGTCGCTCCGAGAGGCTGCACCAGCCGCCGGTTATCGTCCTGCAGCGTGGCGCCTGTGGCCGAGGTACTTCGTCCATTCTCGGACTCGGTCGGTCCTTGCATTCCGCCTCCCGACCCGCCTCAACGGGCTGGTGGAGGAGTGGGAGGTGCACTAAAGCGTTGCGGGATGTTCAGGGCACCAGCTCAGAACCAAACTGTGCCCCCAGCCTGAGTTGGTGATGAGTCGCGGGTGGCCACGCGCTCTGCCCCGTAGCCTTGGGGCCAGGGCGACTAGGCTTCTGCCCAGGTAGCGGGCCGCTGGGTGTTGGGGAGCCACACAGCGCCCAGGTCAGGCAGGAACACAGACGCAAAGGGAAGCTAGTACAGGTCTGGGAATGTTGCCGTGTGCCCAAACCACTTTGGGAGCATAAGGATTCGTTTATGCTGCTTTTCTTTCTACTTTTGTGCCTCCCTCCCCCGCTTTAAAATGAACCACACGTTAATTTTCACACCGATCCTCTCCATGAAAACTTTTAACTTCTTGCAGGGAAGGAATAGCGTTTCCTTGTTTGGGTGGCAGTTCCCCTGATGATTTCCTGGGGGCAGGGACCAGCTTAGTTCAGCAGTGTTGCTGCCTGTCTTGCTTCCCTGGTTTTGAGCCAGCCCTACAAAAATGAAAGTGGTTCCTTTTGAATAAATTCAGGCTGCTGCTGGATCATAGAGTCTGCGGGGCAGAAAAGGGTCGGTTTGGGATGAGCAATTACCTCCCCTCCTTTGCAGCTTTTCTATATCAAGACCGGTGGAAGAGAGGTGCTAGTGTGAGGCAAAGAAGAATGGGGAAATTTCTGATTCTTGGGATCTTCAGGAGAGATGCTTCTGTCCATTGCCATGCACAGATGCCATGTGGAAAAACAATGCAGAGTTCAGCCCCGGCCAGTGCAGCGGTGTGGGGACCAGCCAGCTGGGATTGGCTGGTCGTTTGGTCTCTGCCACGGGACTGCTGCCCAGACCCAGAGTAACCTCCTCAGTGCAGGCAGTGCCTGGGGTGAGGGATGGGGGAGCTCAGCATAGAGGGACCGGTCTGGATTTTTCTTTATAGGAATATGGTCCAGCGTGACCACCTGGGGCCTGGCAGTTTGTCTCATGGATAAGAACATACCAGGTTTGGAGGCAGAGAATATCCACTGACACAGGAGCACAGAGCCTGGCCTCAGCATTCAGAAAACTCAGCGTGTTAGGGGAGAAGAGTTTTTCTAGAGAGAAGTGATTCAGAGTGCTCAGAAATGGGGGAGATGAGAAGGCATACCTGTTAAACACAGGTCCGTGTGCCAGGTGGGTTATTCCATGACCTGTTTTGAGATGGAAATGAGTGTCCAAAAACTGAACACAGCAGAGTCCAAATACTTGGCTGTTGATTCTTTCTACGATGAGAAACAGGTCCTTCTTGGCCAGCAGGCCTACAGCAGCACCAAGAAGCACCAAAGTAGGGACAATCATACAAGAATGAGCATGTGAGACCTGAAAGGAAGGAGACGGGTGTGACACTGGTCTCATCCATGTCTCCTACTTTTACAAATATTTATTGAGCTCTGTAGCGTGTCTGGCACTGTGTGTCTGTCTGCTTGGCACTTAGGCACTGGATGGTTTGTGGGTGGGTGAGTGAGTGGAAGAATAGATGGATGAATGACGAAACAGAAGGTGTTCAAGACAGCAGCCATCCTGTCTTTCCTTAGAAGAAGGTGTTGCTTTGCTGTGTCCCTCATTCCCCATCTGATCCTCACCCTGATTTCCTCAAGGTGTCTGTAGGGCACTAGTCTGGAGCCAACAGCCTTCCTTTGGCCTAAGCCCCACTCCAGCAGCTGGTGCCCAGGACAGGCCACCTGATGTAACAACTGAATGAAGAGAACTGGCTGCCGCTGGTGCCAACTGTTGGCGGGAGTGCTCTTTTGGCTGGGTCGATGTGGAGACCTTTTTGAGAGATGCCTCAGTTAGAGTAGAAGGGGAGTTTGGAGAGGTAAGCTGTGCTAGGCAGCAATAGGCTGAGAGCTGAGAGCACACAGATCTAAGGAGGTTGCTTCTAGGCAGAGTGTTGGGGGAGAGGTAGGAATGCTGTCTGAGGAAGGGTCCTTGGCAAGCAGGCCACACTTTGAGTCATGGTGGCCCCTGGAATAGAGGAAGGGTCATTATTGAAAATGAAGCAGTCCTGTCTGCTATTTAATGAAGACTTCAGAAAATATCTATAATCATAGTTTTGGGAACAAAAGCCAAGTCATCAATTTCAGAGATTACTACAGCTGACAAGAGTTCATTTGGAAAACTACCCAGTTATACCAGAGAACAAAGGTATGTAATCTCCTATTCTGTTGGTCTGGAGAATACAGAAAAAGCATTGTAATTAATAATAGGATGAAAATGAGGGCCCACAAATAGTTTGTTTATTCTGTGTCTGGCATATAATTTTCAACTCTTTTGATCCTTCTAAAAATATTTATATAGTGATCTTCCTAGGTTATAGCTGCAAGGTAGTCCCACAGCAGTATCTTTCCAGGTCTTGAATCTACATCTGATTCCAGAGCTCCCTTCACAAACCACCTCTCTGCTGTCGACAGAACCACAGAGATTAAAGCCAACTCCAGCTAAGTCACAGCTAATCGCTGAAACAAACAGTGCTCCAGATGGCCATGGCCTTGTGATAAAGTGAGACAGGTCCCAGATGTCATCAGCAGGTACAGGAGTCTGAGGACAAGGTTGCCTCCAGTTGCCATTCACATAGCCCTGCCAAGGAAAAATGAAAGAGAAGGAGATGTCATAAACATGTTTCCAAACCAGAGTCCTAGACCCCAAGCTGCTATTGAGGAGGGAAAGGCCCTTCCAGATTCTTGGATGTTCTAGAAGTCCAAGCAGAACTGTGATATACTGCTGATCTCTGCTAAGAAATGGACAAGAAGCCAGGAAAAAGGTTTGAGAAGGACTCCTCAGATAGTAGAATCCTAGTCCTTTTCTCCTGTTAGCACACGCTCCGGAAATTGCACCCCATCCGGGAAGAGCAGCCCCTGTGAATAAGCGTAGGAGTGTGTAAGGCCCAGACGGAATGAGGATTTTTCAGATCCTGATGTCGCTTCAGAGCCTCTGAATATGGAGACCAGAGAATAGAGTGTACAGAATAGTTGTTTGCCTTCCTGGAAGCGTAGACATTTTTTTTTTCGGTTTTTATTTTTTTACTAGTACATGTTTGTAGTACATAATGGTGGCATTCCTCTCAGTTGGACTGTTTGTGTTTTACTTCATTGGTTTTTTTATGGGCGCTGTGGGCCAGTGTTCAGTGTGTTGAGTGCCAGTGTCCTGAGCTTTGGGGAGACTGCAAGGAGCAAAACAGAGCTCCTGCTGCAAGGGATCCTGGAGGTAGCAGTGCTGGGTGGGGTGTGTGGGGATCCAGCCTTTCGTTACCTGGACCTGCACTTTCCTTTGTCAGGTACAGCATTTTGCTGGAATGTTTCCATGACTGGTCATTCGAATATAGCTTTTGTCACTTAAACTATGTGTGTAATGGGTACCAGGCTTCCTCTTAGGGTAAGGTTGGTGAAAAGCCTTGTCTCTCCAGATTTCCGTCATGTGCAGCATGAAAACAGGACGGTCTTCTGAGGTATTTGTAAGGCTTTATTCACTCTGGTTATGTTCTTTTTCTCCTGTGGTTTTAGTAAGGAGTTAAAACATGAAGGCTTCATAAAATTAGTAAGTTAACAAGATCAAAGGCTAAGCATTTGATTTAGAGAGCTGTAAATAGGTTAGAGCTTAAAATAACTGCACTCAGAAAGTGATTATGGTAGAACTATGAGCTAACTGTGGCCAGAAGCCTCAGCAAGGCGGACTGGAACTCTGAGTCTGTTTGGAATTGTGTGATCTTGGGCAAGTTTCATGCCTTGGATCCAGAAATCAGATTTTCCATGAGCTTATATGTCTAGTGAATAAATAGCTCTGAAGGCATAATGTGACGGGGAACTCAGGCTTGGCAGTGGTCGAGGGTTCCTTGGAAGGCCAGCTGGGATGGTGGAGCCAGCGCATGGACACCTGGCCTAGGCCTGTTGCATGTGCACTTACCTGTCATGTCTGTGGGCCCCCAGAGCTCTGAGAGCCTCAGAGAGAAAGGACTGGATCAAATGATCTCAGAGGTCCTTTCTAACTAGAATGGCCTGTGATGCCAGTAGCAAAGTCAGCTTCTGCTGAGGTTGTGGTCACTGAATCCTTATTTTGAAGTCTGGGCTGGCTGCCCAGACCTTTTACGTTATGATGGTTATAGCCAAGGTTGACATTGTGACCCATTCGAGCTTTGTTGCCTTATATTTGGGCTTTGTGTTGGCTGTTGAGAATCCCTGGGAGTCTGTGGGAGTCAAATGCCCATCCCAAGGACAGAGTGTCAGTGAGCCTAGGGTCCCCTACTCCTTTCCCTGGGGCCACAAGGCTGGGCTGCTTCTGGGTCCTCTGGAGTGAGATCTCTACTGAGCTATTTCTTCGTTTCCGTTTCCTCCTTTCCTGCCACTAAGGGGGAAAAATAGCTCTGTGTGCTGACACAAACCTGTAATCCCAGTTACTAGAGATGCTAAAGCAGGAGGATTGCAAGTTTGAGCCCAACCCTGACAGCTTCCTGAGAATATGTCTCAAAATAAAAAGCGAAAAGGACTAGGGATATGGGGCTGATGGGGATATAACACTGGATTCAATTTCCAGTACAAAAGAAAATTGAGAAGTGAAGCCATTCTGAATGCTTTCCCCAAAAGCTCTCCAGAAGCAGGAGAGAAGTTGGTACCATCAGCTCTGCTTGGGGTGGCTCTGCTTAGTGATGTGTCCGGAATCAAGGGTAGAGTGCCTTAGGACAGAGGAAGTGGCAGGAAAGAGGCAGATCTGTCACTGTGGGGAGCTTGCCGAGCCAAGCTTTTGGGATGAGTGCCATGAGTCCCATTTCTGAATTTAGAGCATTTATTGAACACTCACTGTGTACTCAGAATTGTGCTGGACACAGGGAGTGAGGGGTGAGGAAGATTCTTTAACCTCTCATTTCCAAGCGCTCACAGAGGAGGTATGATGCCCTGGTTTAAGTGCTGAACTTCCAAAATCAGATCACTATTTTCTACATATATGATTTCTTAGACTTGACATAATTTCTAACTCAGTTTCCTTATCAGTAAAATGATAATGGAAATAACAGTGTATACACACGCACTTCTTAGGGTTGTTGCAGAATGGAAGGACCTTATTTCATTGCTTAACTTTGTACCTGCTGCATTTCTTGAACTCCATTGATATTAGCTGTGATATTGGTTGCACATATCTGTAAGGCTGAGGCAGGAGGATCATGAGTTTAAGGCCAGCCTGGAACACAGTGGGACACTGTCTTAAAAAAAATTAGCTATAGTCACCATTGCCAACAGATCACAAAGGAGCCACCTCAGACAAGATGGGCTGGGATGTCATCTCTGGGGATGAAGTGTCTGTGGGCTGGTCAGGAAGGATTTACAGAGAGGGGAGCCATGTGGGCATGTGTCCTGGGGCCACCTCGAATTTATCAGTTAATATGCTGGAAAGGTTCTCTGGGCAGAAGGAGTCAGATACTGCCTTCCTGTCGCCCTTTGATGGACACCCCGGATTGTCTACTGTATGATTTGAGAAGTAGGTGGCTTCTCTGGAATTAAGAGCAGTGTCTGGATGACCTGAGATTTTTACAGAAATCCTCTTATTAATGCTCACTGGAGTTCATGACACCCAAGAGATGGCAGTTTAAAGACTCCCTGTGACCTTCTAGAGCAGTTCTCATACTCTGAGAATTCCTCACAGGAAAAGACTTGTCCTGTCTTGAGAAAAGAAAAAAAAAGACAGAGTCCATATATATCCTATTATTTTAGATTCCTAGGACAAATTGTCGAGTAAGCATGTTTTCTAAACACAGTTCCCCACAGCATCTTGTGACAGCATCTGGTACAGGAGTGTCCTTTGTCTCCCTGTACACATGAAGGTCTCTGAGAGCATATTGTTGTGGCTGGGATTTCTGATAATTTCCAAATTTGCATAACTCCTGTCTTAATGAGTCAGAGCCTTGTGCAATATTTCAAACCCCAGGAACATCTTTTTCATTAGTTATGCAATGCAGTCTTCAGCAGGAGATGGTAGGCCTGCCCATGTGATGAGCTGTGTTTTTCTCGGTGCTGGTGAGGTTTACAGTAGAATTGGTTTCCACAGTCTTGGGCAGGACTTTACCCCATTATCCGATACTCATATCATCTCAGCTCTGTGACCAAGATGAGCTGTCTCCTTAGCACCAGTATTCTAAGAGGCAGTCACTGCTTGGTGGGGATTGGTGGAACAGACTTCTGGGCACTGGTGATTCTGGGCAGTTGGCAGCCAGCTGTGTATATAGGAGAAGGAAAGCTGAGCACTCAGCAGTTATATCTGCTTTTTTGTGGCTCAGAGTTATCTGGGCTCAGGGCATAATATGACAGTGGAAGATGTCACTAGACAGAACAGGTACTTTCTTGAGCTGGACAGTATGGTAGTATGTTATGGGTGTTGCCTCCTTCCCTCCCACTTACCCAGGGAGGAATGAGCGAGTATTATCGCTGCAGCCCAGCCTAGGACGTAAATGAGGCTCCGAGAGGTTGATTGTAATTTCCCTAAGGCCACCCTGTAGGAGAAGGCAGAGCCAGGATTCACACCCAACACTGTCTGGCTTCCAGGCTAATTTCGAGGTTTCTTTGACTCCAGTGTGGCTTGGAAGCATGCTGTTTAATCTCCATATATTTAAGGGGTTTCCATTTATCGTTCTGTGACTCATTTCTAGTTTAATTCCATTGTGGTCTGAGAACATCCTTTGTATGGTTTCTCTTCTTTTCAGTTTTTAGAGTGTATTTTCCAGTCTACAGTATGGCTGTGTTGACAGTTCCCTGTGAGGATGAGAAGAACATGTGTCCTGCTGTTGTTGGATAGGTGTTCTCTGAACATCAGTCAGATGCAATGGGTTGATAGTGCTGTTGGGTCAACTAGCTCTTCATTGATTTTGTCCTGCTGGTTTGTTACTTTCTGAGAGAGGAATGTGAAGTCTCCCAAGTCTGTTCTGAAACAAGACTGCAGTCTCCATTGTGAACCACCAGTGTTAGCAGCCTGGGTTTAGCCCCATTTGGACCTTTCGAGTGAGTCACTAGCCCCCTGCCGCCTCAGTTTTCTCATCTGTTACACAGGGACAGTGTTGCTGCTGGGGAGACTGATGTCAGAGGAGATAATAGGTCTGAGGGAGTTTTGTCAGCAGGAAGTACTGAAGCATTGATACTGCAAGAGATTAGGACTTCGAGATAGCAATTCCAGACTCTTCCAGGACTCCTGGTACAATCAGCGCCAAGAATAGAGCCGAGGGGTGGAAAAGTAGTATGCTTCCTGTCTAGCTCTTGGTTGAGGTGACTGAATTTGACCTTCCATTTCAGGGGCAAGTCAAGGGTAGAGTCCACTGCCGTTTTATCCAAGGGAAGATGAGTTTGGTTCAAAACACTGGCAACCCAGTTAGTATACTGTGTGCTCAGGCATCTCCTGAGTCTGCTTTGTGGAGGACTTGTGTTCACCTGCGAGGTGGTGTTCTTCAGTGGTTCCTCTCAAGCCCAGTTTTGTTTTGGTAAAGGGGATTGAACCCAAGACTCTCACAGTGAGCTACATCCCCTAGCCTTTAAAAAATGTTTATTTTGAGGTAGTTTTGCTAGGTTGTTTGGACGGGGCTCATATTTGCTATCCTCTTGCTTTAGCCTCCCAGAGTGCTAGGATTATAGGTACATATCACCACACAAGTCTCAGTTTCTTTTAAACACATTTACTTGTCAAAAAACAGCCTGAGGTGAGGCTCCTCAGGTTCTAGACTGGTATTTCTTCGCAGTTTGACATTTTTGGCTCTGAAAAATGTAATCCGATATGGTGTCCACCCTATTGGAAAAAGCCCTGTTAGGAAAAGCCTGATAATGGTTCAGGAATACCGGAGAAGGGGCAAGGACTTAAGGCTATCTGGGGGGAGCCCAGGTGCCTGGATGTCTTTCTGTCTGTAGATTCTGGGATCCCTCCCATCTACAGTCTGTTCCCTTGGCATCCTCATTAGTGGCCCCCTCAGACTTCATCCTTTGGAATAGACCGTCTGTTCTCACTTTCCACGACACATTTCTAACCACATCAACTCGTTTTCATGCTTTCTTAGGTCCTATGGATGGGGATACCGCCTTCCCCACAGAGGCACTGGTGGATGGCCAGCACCACCACCTGACTTGTAAGGAGGACAGTATCACACAGCATGCAAACTAAGGGCAGTTTTCTACCTGCAAATCCCACTGCCCAAACGCCTTTCACTTTGCGGCTGGGGAGAGGAGATATCCAAAGGGAACATGACTCACAGGCTGAGCAGCTCATCATTGGGAGCCTCTAGGACTGAGCCCATGAATCCCTCTGCTGCCACTTCCTGGAGGAACAGTCATGTGCTGGGGAGGGGCCAGGGTCCTTGTGTAGGAGCTCCTTATAGGCTTGAGAGGTTTAGGGGGTGTCTTCACCTTTTTTCCCTTTTCAATAGAATGTTGAAGATCATTTTTTTTTCCCCCAAAAAAGTTTTCTCCTTGGGATGGAAAATAACCACCGAGCAATCCATGTGGCTTCTGCCCTCAAGAGTTTAAGGTGCCTGCAAAAGCCTTGGGTGACGCGGCACTCTTGCTGTGCGGAAAATGTCCTCATAACCATCACGGTGTGCAGTACACATCACACACAAGATATTTCCACGTATTTAACCTGTCCTTGGGCTGAATCTACCAGATTTTTCTTCTTAGCATAACGGCTCTTTAAAATTCTCCGTTTCGTTTGACCATCAGGGGAAGTACATTTTTTGCACCTGATGATACATTGCGCTGTATCAGGTTTTTAAAGTTAGAAAAGTAATTTCATCCCAACAAAACTAAAGGAGGAAAAAGATTTGTGATTTTACGCTTCACTGTTATTCCAGACACCCCTCATTTCTCTTCTGTTTCTGGGTTAGGATCTATTCTATTAGGATAGATACTGTACAGTGACTGGATAGAAGAGTATGGATTTGTTATGGTCCTCTAGTTATTTTCTAGAAGGGTTATAACAACCGCTTGTTGCTATCCTGCTATAGTTGTTGCCAACTGCTATAGAAATTCAGCCTCTGTAGTCACTGAATGTCATAAAGAAATTCTACTAAAAGAAATCCCAGGAGGACAATGATTCCAGATCAGTCATTCTGCTCAGTTGATAGATGACCCTGTGGGTCTTATTAAAATGTGCTTCTACCGAGAGCTAGGGTGAGTTGTGATCACAGGACATATGCCTAGAAGGGCCCCTGTAGTTCCCAGGTCATTTGGTGCAAGTTGTATTTTGGGTGAGGAGCTTGGATCAACCAAGGGGACATGAATGTCCAAGGTCACCAGTCAGGACTGACAGAGAACTGAGTCCCTGGGTACCCAGTTCAGGAGCTACCACAGGGAACCCTGGATGCTCCTCTGTTCATGGTGTGGGGGAGGCCAGACTGCAACTTGATAAGTGAAGAATGTGTCACTTAAGTGTTTTGTGCACATAGAAGTATACTGTGAGCTGCATATATAAAATCAACATTCAAGTGCAGTAGTTCCATTAGAGTAAAAAGAAACAAGGGACATTGTTTTTCTGTTTTAAAATAACTTCACTGAGATAATTTGCATACTGTGAAATGTATCCTTTTAAAGTTTCTATATGTTCAGAGTTGTACATTTATTGTCACTAATCTGAGAACATTCTAATCACCCCCAAAAGAAACCCGATACCTGTTAGCAATCACCCTATATTTCCCTTTGCCTGGCTCTAACCAGCCACCAATCTATTTTGTGTCTCCGTGAATTTGCCAATTTTGGACATGCCTGGAAGTGGAATCCTGCGGTATGTAATCCTTAGTGACTGGCTCCCGTCACTTAGCATACTCTTTTCAAAGTTCACCCACATTTTAACATGTGTCAGTACTTAATTCTATTTTATGACCCAAAAATACTCTGTTGTGTGGTGATAGGAATACCAAGTCTCTCTTCCTGGGGAATCCTAATCCCAGTCCTGAAAGTCATTTTGAAAACTGAAACTGCTGACACAGTTCTGAGGGCTCTGTTGGAACAAAGTGAAGCACATGCTGCAGAAAGCCGGCATTAAAAATGAAAGTGTGCTATTTGGGTGGGAATTGTGTGCTAAAAAGAAAACAGCAGGAATCATACTTTGCAGGTTTACTAGCTCATATGACATTTTTTGGAGCTGGAAAGGATACTGGAAATGGTCTAAGTCCCTGACCCCCATCTAACAGACAAGGTACCTGGAGCCCAGAAAGGGAAAGTGGCTTGTCTTGGGTTCTGAATCCACTTTTCACTTTTTACTTGAGCCTGTTTATTTCTAGCCTCCTCTGTTTCAGGTTTATAAATTCTCCTAGTTGTCCTCTGTTCCCTAGGAGACGAGCTCATTAGCAAATGAATGTTGGGTATTGCTCTGATCTTCTGATTCCTGGATAAATGGGCTTGTTCAGCATCTCTCTCCCTGTGTTCTAGGCTTGGCTCTTTGCCCGCCCTGGGCTTGGTAAGGGTAGCCCCTCCATGACTTTGCTTCCCAGCTGTGTGACAGAGGCTGAAGGGCCCTGACAGCCCCAGACAAAACAGCCAGAGAAATCGCAGCAGGAAGAAAGCCCAGCTGAGAAAGCTGCAAAGGTCAGGACTGGAGACATGCTTATTAGAAAAAAGTGGACGGGGATATTGTGGACTGGGCTGTCAGCTATTTCCCTGCAGATAATAATAGGTACATCATCTTGGGTGTTTAGAGACTTCTGGAAAAACATCGTGCAGTGGAATTGATTAAAAACTTTTCTGTATTAAAAAAAAAAAATAGACCAGAAAAGATGATGAAATACAAGGGCACTGACCTAGACCAAAACATTTTACCATGGGTACAAAAGTATGGATCATTATCATTGTTTTGTTTCATTTTTTGCCACTGAGACTGAGAAGTAATTTTTCAGAAATAGGAACCTTTAAACCTAAACACATTTTTCTGGAAAACGCACATTTTCCCAGTAAAGCCAAAGCTACAGAATGAGGCTGAGCTTGTGAGTCACAGTACGGTTAGGGGCTTGCAGCCAGCTGGCCACATGCCCTGAAACTGGAGTCCCAATGCAGCCTATTTGTAGGGGAGTATCTTAGACTTGTTTGCATAATCTAACTTCTTCACTTCACCTACTGCAAGTCTTTTCCAGGCACTATTCAAGGCAGCCTTGGCCCAGCCACTGCAAATAGTTACTGCTCAAAGCACCACCTTGGGCAGTGCAGCCTGAGGCCTGGCATACAGTGAGCTTTTCCCACTCAGAGCTGTCTGGGACACTATCCCGGAAAGAGAGGGCTGCCAGCGCTTGGAAGTACCAGTATGGGCTGGAAATCAAGGCCAGGCCCTGGGCTCTACTGCCCCTTCCGCCTTTATTCATTACAAGAAAAGAAAGAGGTCTTATAAAACCTACCTGGATTTTATTTCTTTATTCTAAGCATCACTCGATTTGTAATCTTAGAAAACAATGATACTGCTAGTGAATTCAGTATATTTTAACAAAGGTAGTTCTGAAGGTCATTGTCTTACCTGTTTGATTCCTTCTTCAATCTGAATAGGATCTTGAGATTTGTTTTAGACCCAACTGGCTGCCTTAGTCCCCAGCTCTGTGATGCCTCTGTCTTTCCTGTGCATTTTCTCTGCAAGATTGAGGAAACCTCTCTGCCTAGGCTCCTCTGTGCCCTGGAATTTGCAGCTGTAGCACTGATTAGAATTGGGGTTTGGTTTCCTGGAATGTGCAAGGGATCACTTCTATTTCCTCTACCTCAATGCTTCAGACCAGCTCTGGGCCTGACTCAGGCCCTTGCTGACACGTATCCTTGGTATTTAATGGAGCAGGACAGAGAGAATGCAGCCACTCAGACCAAAATCATGAAGCAAGTAAGTATTGAGAGGCATTTTTGCTACACTCAAGGGGTTATGCCTTTTTTTTTTTTTTTCCCCTTATCCTCCAGCTAAACTCTCTTGCAAGCAGGAGGCCCCAGCCCTTTGTGCCTTATGCCTTGTTAGCTGTTAAGAACTTGTTTGGATTGATTTTCCCCAGACTCTAAGGGAAAAGAGTAATTCAGGTTCATGGGAAAAGGAGAAATTGTGTGAGTTTCTGTGCAATCTTGTGCTTCTCAGATTGTTCTCAGATTCAGCAAGAAGCCTCACAGAGGAAGCTTGTCTTAGGAGAAAATCATCTCCCTTTCCTCCTTGCAGATAGGCACCCCTCCCCAGCTATAGGTGTTGGGTTCATTAACTGCCTGCTGCCTGGTCTTGACATGAAACCTATACCTAGGACAAGTGTGCTGCTTGAGGTGCCTGTGTTTGTGCAGAGTGCTGGGTCTTGAATTCCATCCTGACACAGAAAGACCCCAGGGCGGTCACTGTCAAGATCAGTCGTATTCCTTAGGAATGATGGCACACACCTGTAATCACAGAGGGACTGGGAAACTGAGGCAAGAGGATTGTAAGTTTGAGCCCAATGCAACTTGGTGACTTAGACTCTGTCTCCAAAATAAATACTGAGATTGCAAGGCTAGAAATTTGGTTCAGTTTCTAGTATGGGGTGGTTGTGGGGGTTTGGAGAAAAATCAGTATCCTAGATCCTCTTTTTCTGTCACTCCAAGGGGAGCCAAATCAGGCATTTGTATCAATTTGGGCCTGCAGCCTTCTCATCTCTGTTCTGTTATGTGTCTCTGTTCATGTACACTCTACTCCATCTAAAGGGCCAGTGGGCTGGGGGCCTTTGGCTTGGGGTGCTGGGGACCTTTGGCTTGGGGTGCTAGGGAGTGGGAGGAGCAGTGGGGAGCTGGCTGAGCTTTGCATTCATATTGACTGCCTTTGTTCTCCTCTGGGGTCCTGTTGAGGTGCTAGACTGAGAACAACAGACAGATGAACACTTAAAGATAGAGTTCCTGGAGAAGGTTTGTTTTTATTCCTGAAGGTCCTCTTTGGATCTGGGCCTGGCTTTATTAAGTAGCCAGGCCACTTGGCCATACTAGAGATCAAGGAGAATTTTAAAAAATGTTACAACATGACTCTTGCACCACCAAAACTGAGAAAGGGCATGCCTCCCACAGGCACTCGCCCATGGCAGGAGCTTCAGTGGTGGGAAGGTCATTGCACTTGAGACCTGTAGGAGGCTGCTGGGGCTCTGGAGGCAGCACCACACACAGTGCCTGCTGCCTGGGGTACTGGCCATGGGAAGGTGTGAACGATAGATGAGGAGCATGTCCTATCCCATTATACACTGGACGATTCCCAAAGATCATTCTCAGTTTCCTTAGCGCTCCACTGGGGGCCTGCATGTTTCCCTTCATTATTTACAGTTTCCTTGCCAGTAAGAGTGGTCATGTCTGGAGGAGGCCAGGAGAGATTTTTCGCAGGCTCCTGGGCAGACTTTGGGACCAAAACAGTGGCGGCCCTGGCAGGCAATTTCCCAGGTGATTACTTCTTGTCCTCAGATGGTCAAGGTGGCCTCTTGGCCCCTCAAGTGTGAATGGGCACATGTTTCCCCTCAGCCTTAGTTTCCAGCCTCTGCACAAGACATTTGGTGCCCTTGACTTTGAAATAACTTGGCTTGCTTTTGTTACTGATGACCAGGCTTACGTGGCAGAAGGAAGCTACGCTGAACGGGAAGTAGGAGAGAGGACGATGAGCTGTCTTCAGGTATCACCTGCTACCCTAGTTTGTCCTGGCTTCCTCCTGAGCATACCCTAATGTGATCCAGCTCTAGGTTTTGCTAACTTTCTTCATAGCTGGGCTTGCTTCTGAATCTCAGTAGCTGTTGGAACTGGCCTGTACTCTTCATGGCAGTCTGTCAGATTGTACAAATGCTGTGCTAGGAGGTGAATTTGAAATTTGGTGGGAAAATCTCAAGTAATTTGAGGGCCAGGGGTGAGCTTACAGGGAATCTGGTGAAGCCTTTCATTTTGAAATTGAGGAATCCCCAGCCTAATGGGCCTACCCAAGATGGCACAGCCTGCATTGGCCTGAAGTGCCCATATTGCATTGGCCCATACTACGGGTGACAGAGGTTGGGCACGTTATCTCCCTGCAGATGTGTGCCCTGTCAGCCCCTGCACATGGGTGGCTGTGGACTCTTGGAATCTATAGAGTAGGTGACACCTCCAGCAGTTTCTGAGCAGTGCGTGATGTTTTTCACTTAATTTGGGTTTTTAAGTCAAATGAATTTGAAACTCAGCTAGAGTGGGCTCCATGCTCATGGACCTGTACAGTCACACAAGAAAGGTTCTGCCTGTCTTAATGCTGCACTTGAGATTTATAATTAATTTTTGAACAAAACCTTTTATTTTGCCCTGGTCTTTGCAAATGATGATGCTGGTCCTGAATGTGGAACAGTGCATTAAAATGCTGTGGATTTGATCAATCTGTTCTTGCAACTGATTTGAATTTTGGGAACATGCTGTTCCCTGTGAAGAAAGAAGAATTCATTTCTTTTCCTTCAAATACACTGCGTTCTGTTTTCCAAATTAGCTGTACTTATCAACTCTGCTGAGCAATTGGATGGTGGGATTGTTCTTGCCGGTAGGGAATGTTGGGTTGTTAATCCCACATCCTGGTCCTGATCTCTTGGCCTGGAAGTATGAATCGTGCTCCTACAATGATGTGGCCTGCAGAGGTCTGAAAGGCTGGGGTCAGGAAGGGAGGCCACAGATGCAGAGCAAAGAGCTCCAGCTCCAGAGCGCCAGATGGATGAGTTCTCCTCTTGCCTCTGCTGCTTCCAGTTCTGAGGCCTTGAGCAATGTGCATTCCTTTTCCTTCTATATAGCAAACCTTCTATTTTTCCATCTTTCTGTAGGGTGAGCGTAATATCCACCCTGTAGACTTGTGGGAAAAATTAGAGGTCACATTTGTTCCTGGCATTGTGTTTAGCACATAGTAAATAGTAAATGTGCAGTAAATAAGTAGCATGCTCTGTCATACTGGGAGCCAGCCACGTGGAGACATGGAGGGAATACGATCTGCCACCCAGGCAGGTATAGGGATTTTCCACTGGCAGGTCCAAGTTCATGGGACCTGAGACTTACACAATTCAAGAGATTCTTTAAGAAAACTCAAAATTATATATGCAACATTAAGTATGAATTAGATTAAAAGAAGAAACTATTAGAAGTTAAAATTTTGTTTCACAATGTCTATTGCACATTTTAGAAGGAACTAGGATGGATGAAAGGAGAGGACAATAGATAAAGAAAAAATACAAGTCAGTTATACTTTTAGAATCTCTTAGTTCATTGAAAAGGAAAGTTTTCTGTTATTAGAGAAATTTTTTTAAAATGATTTATTTATTTATTTATTTATTTATTTATTTATTTATATTTTGAGACAGGGTGTCGCTAATGCAGTTCAGGCTAGCTAGTCTTAGGCTCACTTTGTAGCCCAGACTGGTCTGAAACTTGCAACAATCTTCCTGCCTCAGCCTCCCAAGTGCTGGAATTACAGGGGTGCACCACCATGCCCAGCAATTAGAGAAATTTTTATGTCCATATCTTATACCTTGAGCAACTACTTTAAAGATAGCAACATGTAATGTGTTAACTATTTTTAATTCTTCTATTATTTTGTTGTGAAATTTTGTTTTACATTTTTTTCTGTAAAATAAAAAACAATTTAAAAAGTTAAAATTCACAAAGCAAATACCATAAGCATCACAGCATCCAGAAAAATATAACATTAATTATCTGCCAGATACACCTTCACTTTTTATTTTAGTTTAATTTGGGTGGGGTTGTTTTTTGAGACAGGCTCTCGTTACTCAGTTCAGGCTGGTCTTGAACTCATTATGTAGCCCAGGATGGCCTGCAATCTGAGGTAGTCCTCCTGACTTAGCCTCTGTGCTGAGATACAGGGGTGTGCTACCACGCCAGCTCACCTGCACTTTTAAAACACCTTCACCCCCTAAGCTTTCTGGTTGTCAGCTCTGATCACTTTTTTTATATGGCAATGATTTTCCTACAGAGAAAAACAAGAATTATTCATTATTATTTTTATTATTATTTATCGAATTTTGAATAATTAAATCTTTTATATTTCCCTGCCACCAACATGCTATCCTTAGAACCGACATACCATCCTGCAGAACTGGGAGCAGAGTGGGTGGCAGGCATGTCCTGAAACTATATCTGTATGAGGATTCAGGGCAGTCACTGGACTAGAGACAGAGTGACTGCAGGGCGTGTAAATGCATCTCATTTAAACCAAACAAAGTGATTCTCCACTTGTGCTTTCTGTTCTGAATAGCCTCCCCTGACAAGATAGCTGCGGTGTGCCAGGGGGGGAGCCTATAGTCTCAGCCAACTATGTTAACTACTTTATTTCTACAAAATTTCCAAAAACATGTGATGACCACTTTGCTAGGATAACCCTATAACAACAAGCAGAGCTTTGTTGAGCTCCACTGTAAATCTGCCTGCTCTCAACTACTGCATCTGTGCAGGATTCAGCTTTAGGCACTGCAGAGAGCCCATGAGACATCAGGCAGAGAGCCCAAACCTTTGTGGCTTATAGTACCCTTAGTAATTTTTTATGGCACCTGTAGGCCAGAAAAGTACCCCAGGGTTCCATTTGTCAAATAGTTAGGTCCAAAAACTTAGTAAGTGTTGTGAAACAGGAAGGAATAAATTTAACTTCATTTTAGCCACCGTTACCTGTGGATG